TATATATATATATGCAGAACCTCGTGCAACGGATTTAAATGGCGTGAGGAACGCATGATACAAAAATGCATAACTGTCTATCCAAGTCTTCACTCATCAAAAATCTTTGAAACCCCGTTTCAATAAGTACTTAAACGTGTACCCTCTACTCTGCCACTTCACAATTACTAACGCAGCTTTTACAAAAGGTAAAACAACTTCCACAGTTCGTAACAATATCGTCAGCCTCAAAAGTCGAAGACTGTAAGCCAGCTTTTTTTTACTTTTATTTAATAAACGCTCAACCTCAAGACAGTTACCACAATGTTCAAAAAACGCAAAATTGTGATTTTCTTGACAGTAATAACACCCTTTAACCAAAGATATGGTTTGCTCTCAGACATTTTGAAAAAAAAACAATTTATGAGCTTTTCCCTTCCCTTGGTCTACCGTCTTATAAACGACGCATTCAATGTCAAAGTAATACCGTTTCCGGCAAATGCATAGCACTTTATGTCCTTTTTCAGTCCCCCTGCAACTTGGTCAAACAATCAACTTTCGACATGACGTCTGTGATTCAGCGTAATGCTGTCGTCTTCAACCCTTCTACTTCTTTCCTCAAAATTGCACATCAATAATCCCTCTACTTCAGTTATACAATGCGCAATCTCTAACATTTCATCGCCATTCTACTCGTTACCTGCCTCCAACTTGAACTCTTCAATCCTGCAACGAATTTTTAGCGAAATCTTCCCTACGAGATCACAACAGTGGCTCACTAACCGACTCTCTTTCCAAAAATTCCAAATTTAAAACTACTCTTCAAAGTCCTCTTACTGTGGATTGCAACTACCAACAAAACTCTTTCTTTACTACTAGGAGGTCCTAAAATATCAATAAGCCATATAATAACGTAGATCTATTTCTAATCACTTCCTTCAACACTGCAGTTCTAACAAGCACTAACAACGCATCGGTTTCAGCACAGCACCTCTATTGCTTAAATTTTTATTTTAACAGCTCTATTTTAAAACCCCAAACAAACCCGTTTGGTTGTTACAAACACCACCTGGCAATTTTATATTATCTATATCATGTTTTATATTAATGTCATTTTATAATATCATGTTTTCAAACAAAGTAATCTCCAATCGCAATTAAGCCCTCCGCCATTAGAGCACACAATAAATCTGAACGCATACATTTATTACTCTCCATTGTATCGAAAAAAGTAGGTCCACTTCTGTTGGCGAATGTACGATAAATATATACAAAAAGAGTATAACAGTAAAAATTCAATGACGACTCAAGATGGTAATGAGATATAGCAAGCGATTGATGCCAATGAAAAATAGTAAAAACATAAAATTTAAAACCAATAGCGTCGGTATTCACAGAGGAAAACGCCATTTACTCAAACACTAAAGTTCTTAGCTCTACAGTGGAAAAAATTACAAAATCAAACATATAAAGATCCAAAACGAAAAAGGACACAAGAAGACAAAAGAAAAACATCTTGACAAACTAAATCTCATTACCAACTCAGCTTGCACAGCCTTGATATATAAAGCAGCGTGCAAGTGAATTTAACAGATTCATATTTACAAAAAGCAAGTACTGTAACATTAAAACTCAAGAAAGAACCTAAAGTACCCGTATTTAGTTGACAAAAGCTTATTACAACTATTAAAAGAGCCTCACCCAAAACAAACTTGATTCAAACAAACGAAAGCATTGGCTTTACTGCGCCTGTTTGAATGAAGAACAAAAAATTAGACTTGTGATGGATAAGCTCAAAACTCAAAAAATAATATGGAAATAATAAAAGCTGCCCTGGTAAACGCAGCCTACGTAAAGCAGTCTTGCAAACTCTAATATTAGAAGCATTCTGAATCAAAATGGCATAGCAATATAGACAAGGACTAATTAAATAAAATCAACGTAAAAACTACTGGTCTATAAAACAATGCTAAAAAGTGGCGCTAAAGCTCGACAGCAGAAACGAAAATGTAAATAAAAACAAAAAAAACAAAAAAAAGAATAAACTTCAGTACCTACTGCTTCATCAGCAGTAATAAAAAAAGAATATTATTTACACGACATTTGAAACACGTACATAAACCTAAGGGACTGAAAGTTTGTACGCTATGGCAACAAAAAAAGTCGGAAAATAAGCTCGACATGTTACTGTCAAGAAATTTGAATTAAAAAAGCAATGTACTACAGATAATAATTAGAAGTAAATTTAACAAAATCCATTTCTCGACAAATTTAATAAACTAGTGACCCGAACTTAAGCAAATCCAGATTTGCTTTTTTCATAGAATAAGTTAATAAAGGTTATTTTATGATACAGCCATAAATGAAGGAGCATGATGAACATCTGCCTCGACAATTACGGAATTAGCGCAATCCTCTGCAATACATGTCGCCGCTGGCATAAGGAAAGTACGTTCTGTCCGTCGCGAAATATTTATACTGAATTGCCGGAAGAAAACTTAGGTTGTAAAGCAGAGCAAGAAAAACACAACCATTGAAAATCAACACAACGGAAAGTCACCTGCTTGAGGCTCCCTCACTCTCTTCTCCAGCCATTCTGTCCGTCATTGTCGAGTACCCCTGGTCGCTGGATTCAGTTCTCGGGGAAGGACGAATCTGCGATCTCATAACAGGATGCATATATGAACGTTGTTCAAAAGATGCTAACTGCAACTTATCTAAAAAAGAACTAATTTTGATCCATAATATCCAACTAATTTCAACTAACAAATGCTAATGAATAATCAACCGTCAGGACTTTCGTCATAATCCATTTGAAAACCATCATCATCTTGTTGACAGATTGGTGTGTCAGAAGAATCAGTAAGGGAACGAGTTTCCACGTAACGATTGACTTGACTCCGG